TACTATATTTTCATAATTAAGATAAATATCTTTATTAAAATTTTCTTAAGTGATACATATTAATATAAATTAAACAATGTTTTTTTTGTCATCACTAAAAGCACTATTAACCGAGAGTGTTTTATTTTTGGCAAGTTATCGTTATCCTCTGAGTATTTTTCTGCATTATTTTCAGATTCATGCTTTACCTTTTGCAAAAAGTGTATGTAATTTTAGATTGCTTGCTTTTAGTTAAAAGGTCTTTATAAATTTCCTTATATGGTGCTAAGTACTTTTGGAATAAGCGAAAAACATCTGGCAACACCAGAAGCAGAAGCGTCGAGATATGGCAAAATTGAAACAATATTCGCAAAGGACCATGTGTATGGAGAAGAGAAAAGAAAATTTACACACTGAAGTACTAATAGTTCACAAAAATAATAATTTTTGTGAACTATTAGTACTTAATTAAGTATGTAAAAATTTATTACATTTTATGTTGTATGAGGGTTTTGCCCATTTCTCGAATCGTGTCAGAGTAGATCCGTGTTATAAAAGTACCGTGTTATACGGGGGATGGTACCAATTCTCGAACCGTGTTAGAGTGAATCCGTGCTATAAAAGTACCGTGTTATACGGGGGATGGTACCAATTCTCGAACCGTGTTAGAGTGAATCCATGCTGAAGAAGTGCCGTGTTATACGGGGGTTACCTGTAATCATATATTTATGCTCTTTGATACATTGCTGCAAGTTGCGCATTGTTGCGCCCACATAGACAAGATCCAAATTAAAACGCTGATCGTGTAATGGTGTAGAATAGATCCCTGATGCCGATTTCCAGTCGAATCGCTTCTTATCATTTCTTAATAGCTTGAAAACAGTAGGATTGCATCAACATATCACTCGGAAATTATTAGTCCTAGCCATTTCTTTATGTATTTGTCTCAAAAACGAGACGTAATTTAAAACCATGCTTTGTCTTTGGTCTACTGTAGGATGCCATTGTTTAGTTGTTTGGAAGGTTGCAATAAGTTTCTCTATGATTTCCTTTTGGTGTCACTGTTGTTCTGCAATCCTTAGAATATAGTTTAGCTCCGTTAACATGTCTTTTATGCTTGTACAATATGTATAAGCTCTTTTTATCCAGGACCTAAAGGCTGCTAATCTGATGTGATGCAGATCAATCGAATTATGCGTTAATTAAAGTAGGTTGAAAGCATGGTTTTCTGTATATGCTGGTTCAGATTACTCCCTGTCTGCAAGCGATGGAAATGTCCAAAAAATTTACAATACTTTCACTCTCCTGGTCCACTTGTAGTAACAAATTGTAAGGGTTATTATTGATCATATCCAAAAATTGCTGTAGGTTAGGTTTTCTTTGCCACAAGGTGAATTTATTGTCGACGTATCTGGTGTACAAAGCGATAAGGTGTCGAAACTTGGGTAGAATTTTGTTTTAGAGTTGCCGTAAGATCAACTCACAAAGAATCGCCTATGTGGGACTACCATCAGTATGCCTCTTCCTTGCAAATATAACCCGTTCTCAAATTCAAAACGCGATGTATAACATACTAGGTGCGCAAGTTCCAGTATTTGATTGTGATGTTGTGGCGCATTTATTTGCCAATGTTGAAAATTAGCCACATCATCACAATCAAATACTGGAACTTGCACACATAGGGTCAAATGGATGCGATGATGCTCCTTTTTACATTTGCACTTCACTCCCAATCATTATCTAACTCACAAAGTTCATCTGTCAAACTTTCCATAATTGAAAGGATACGCTTTAGATCGACTGTTTTCATAATTCTTGGAGTTTCTTCTTCGTCGTTCTTCTGTAGCTCTATGTCAGGTCCACAGCTCATTCAAATGTAATGGTTTGTGGAACGTTCTATATTGGTCTAGATCTGACCAATCCCAACAAGCCACAATTCTGCCACGACATGTGGTGTCGTAGTGGACTTGTGTCTTGCTAGGATTGGTCAAATCTGGACAAAATCTAGTCAAATCTAGCATAGGAAAAATTGGGGAATTACACAGCAAATTGTGCAGTCACATTATTGTGAATCAGCATAAACTGAGGGCTACCTGTACTTTCTTGTTGAATTTGTACATAATATTATTTGTATTTGATAGTCAGATTGTCAAGGTGGTAAAGACGCTTACTGTTCAGGAGACGTGTTAAAATCTGGACAAAGTATTTCAGATACTTATTGTGTCTATCTCTTATCACCCAGCCATCTCATAATGGTCCTGGAAAAACTGGCTCTCTTAATACCCACAGGGTAGAAAGAGTCAAAAATGAAAAATATATATTTAGATAGTATTAATGAAGATATATGTTAAGTCATGTAATAAATAGCCAATATTACAAAAACTCATAAACTAGTTTAGGATGGATATATTTTACTGCTGTATATGCAGTTGTCTTCAAATTGGTTTTACTTATTGATTGACCAACTAAATGACTTCTCTGACCAATTAAAAATGTATTTTATTTTATGTACACAAATATTATTTGTTTTAAAGATATACTAGTATGCAATTGATTATTATAATATAAGTATTATTTTGTAGTTATTTAATTGATGATTGTAAGGAAATTTGCATAGTAGCCAGCTAAAACTAGATTGGCTGCTTAAAACTTTTTCATGGGAAGAACATTGTATGTGTAAAGTAACTTTTTTTAGTAATCATTGAGTTATTTACATTGGTGACTATATACTCTAACTTATTTTGATTATAAAGAACACCACTATCACTAGTAAACCAACAAAAAAATTTTAATGTAAAAACAAACAGTTTTAACCATTTTTAATGATCATCATCAGGCTATACATTTTATAATCAAACAAAATACAAAATAAACATTTTAAACTAGATAGAACAAAAATCACTGTTTCCTTGGACCAAGTGCATTGATGGAAAAAAATTATAAAAATAAATGTTTATTTTATATTTTGTTTCATTATCAAATGTATAGCTTGGAGATGACCATTAAAAATGGTGAAAAATTTTGTTTTTACATTAAAACAACAAATTGTTTTAATGTAAAAACAAAATTTACATTTGTTTTTTTTTGCTGGTTTATTGGCGATAGCAGCTGGTTCTTTATAGTATATTCATCCAGTTTACTTATATATGTTGATGATTAATTAATTTGATTATTATTAAATATCAGCAAAAATGTCGACGAGGACAGTATGGTGGAAAAACTTGTGGTTATAGTCAGAAAGGATCATATCAGAGACAGAATTTTCCTAGACTTGGATTTGAAGGAGGTAGATTGCCTTTCTACTTGAGAACTCCAATAGAAAATTATTATAAAAATCATCAGTAAGTTTTTCTGTAGATTAAATCTAATGTAGGTCTAATATACTGAAATTCTAAATGGAAATAATTATCTTCTAACATTAAATTATAAGTTATTTCATATTCTTGTTTTTATTTAAATGGTTTTGTTACTTTGAAAATAATTTTTGTAGATATGAGAAAATTTAAATTTATGAAATATATTATATAATAACTATTTTAAAATATAAACTTAGAAATATAATGTAAAATTATTGAACAATAAATAAATATTTACAATTTATTTTTAGAAGTTATTTACTGTATTTACTTGCATATAAGACGATCTCGTATATAGGATGAGGTGTGACTTTAAAGATCAAAATGAAGAAAATTAAATTTATTAATACAATTCTAATTTTATTCGTTTAATCACAAATAAAATATCAAATGTACATAAATGCATAAATTGTCCTGCAAAAATTACTGATATTTTAAATTTTCAGGAAAATTCTTGTAAAATCAACAACATAATTTATTCATGTAAAGCTGGACAATCAAACCTTTTTGCCAATTCGTAACAGTTGAATCCACTCTCCATCGATTACACTTATGAGTTTCTCCAAATTCTGATTTCCGAATAATCATCTGTTTTCATGTGAGAATGGGTTAAAACTTATATTTGGTTCCTATGTGGTTTTGGAATTTCAATTTGGAATTCAATTCAAAAGCTTTGCTATTCCTATTGCTATTCATCTTTATTCCTGACAATACACAAGAATGATTCAACAACCCAGATAAAATACTTTAGTTTTTAAGCACCAGAGGATGAGCATCTGATAAAAAATGCGAATACATGGTTCACAAAAATTGTTGCACAAATGCAAAGAATCCTTTGTTTGCATGTATAGGATGACCTAGGTTTTTGAAGCAGTGAAAAATGAATAAAAACCTCGTCTTATATGCAAGTAAATATGGTATACTCATAAAATAAGTAAATATGGTATAAAATAAGTAAATATGGTATAAAATAAGTAAATACATAAAATAAGTAAATATGGTATACATAAAGTAAATATGGTATACTCATAAAATATACTCATAAAATAAGACTTGCTGAGGATGGAAAAACACTGAAAATACTTTAATTAAAACATTTTAAAATAATTTCTAATGATTGTTTGTGCACTGCCTTTATAAACGGTGGAATTGGATAATGAAATATTTTATCATTAGTCCTTTACTAAAAATGACATTAATACAATGAAGCATTGAAAACCTGTTAATCAAAAATCTAGATTTGCCTATTGAAAAATGAATATTAATTCTTTCAATGGTTGATGTTCTAATATTTAGTCAGAATTCAGCATTTTTTTAACTTTGAAATTATGGTTAGTGTATTTTTTGTTAAATATAGTGATTTTTTTTAAAATTATGTTTTGAAAATTTGTAAGTATTCCAACATTCTTTGAGAGTATTTCACAAGGTTCTATAAGTTAAAGCAATCTATTCTTACATAGGTTGACTTGAACTTAGAACATGTAAACTTGAATTACAGTGTATTTTGAATTTAGAGTACTTGAAATGCTAATTTACACATATATTTGAAATCTGGATGGGGTCTAGTCCCAATTAATCTGGACTTTTGATGCTTCATTATAATTACATATACAAATAAAAATTATCTCCAGTAATACATGCTAATACTTTCAAGGAATACATTTTAAAGTTATTTGAGACTATCTGTTACCCGCGATTTCGCCCACTTGGATTTTGCAAACAAACCCCATTTATATTCAGTATTTCAACAATCATAGTAATTGTTTTATAACACCTACCACTGAGAATGATGAGAATTGCTGAGAATCAAACAAACTGTTTTCAATTTGATCAACTTTCTGGAATGTTTACAATCATTCTATAATTGAACCAACACGCAATAACAAATTCAAATTTAAAATGGTTCAGACATTTGATTAAAAAATCAAAATATATAAAAATATTTATAACAGTGTCTGAAATGTTATTGATTTAATACACCTAAGTACTCAATGAAGATTAAACATAGTTGATAACAAAAAATTGCATCTAAAATAGTACAGTAGAAGCCATTCTTCAGGTTAAGCCTTAATGCTCTCCCTTTCCCCCTGCGGGGGAATTTTGAAAAATCTCTTCTTCATGTGTGTTTTCATGACATAACCTAACTGTGTACCAAATTTCACCTCTAAGTTCAGCAGTTTGCTCTGGGCGATGATGAGTCAGTCAGTCAGTCAGGACAAGTAATTTTGTGTGTTTAGATTAGAGAAAGTGAAATTTTTAAAAGTAAATAATTTGTTTTTCTTTGCTTTATTTAAACAGTCTGTTTTCAAGATTAGACTTCAAAATTAAAATTTTACTTTTAAAAGTTCACAGAATTTGAATAAATTCTGTTGTAAATTGATTTTATAGTATATAACTCTAAGGAATATTTATTTTGGATAAAATACCTTATTACAACCAAGCCTGATTATTTGTTAATAATTCATTATAATTAAATTTTTTATAGTGTACGCAGACAGTATCCTCCACTTTCTTTGACCACACTTCAGTTAATGTTGGATACAAATCGTATTAATTCATCTGAACCTATTGATTTAATTACTCTTTGTAATACAAATGTGTATCATATGCATCCTAAATATCATCACTATGGTGTCCATTTGACAGATGAGGTGAGTAATTTATGTTACAATATAATGATGGTTTAGAAAGTGAAACTAGTGATTTTATATAATAAAAACAATTATAGTTAATTTATACTATAGAAACATTTTACAAAATTCTTACGTGATTTTATATAATATGGTAGTCTCGAAAACTTGGCACTCGATAACCCGACAGTCCGGATAACTCGGCCACACTCTGGCAGGGCAAAAAAATTCTTAGTTAATTAATTTTCATTATAGACAGCTTAATGCCTCATAAAGTATTTTTCTGAGATCTGTCTTTTCAGGTAAATTACTGTACACAGTGTATTCATTAATTTTCATTTTCATGTAGTAAAGGCTCTATGCCTGCATAAAGGATGTACTTTTCTTTTGGTTAAGGGTATTTGGGCAGTTTATTCTCTGTTGTATTCTCAAGTAAACAATACATACGAGTACAGTACATTATTTTCTGAGGAAACACTCATACTTATTTTTTTTTTAACCCCATTCCTGATAACCTGGCATTTTCACAAACTCGGCCACCCTTCGGTCCACATTAGTCCGAGTTTTCGAGACTCTACTGTAGTAAATTTTAAGTATTTTTGGATTTATAAAGACAGACACACATACAATTTTTTTATACAATTTGAAATTTGTGTAATTAATATTTGTAAATTGTATATATTTATAAATTGGTCTTTAGTAAAAATGAGTAAAAATTTAGTTTCATAAATTATCTGTTTTGTTTTCTTTTATGAATTAGTGAATAAATTAATATTTTAGCTTCTAATGTAATTTCATCTAACAATTATGTTAAAAAACTTTAATTGGAAGCACACAGAATTAATTTAAAAATATAATACAAAGAATCAACATTGCACATATACAGGGTGGAGGAAAAATTATAAAACTTTAGACATTTGTAAAAATTGGAAGGATTATTGGAATTAAATGTGGTTTGTGTAGTAAGTATTGTCTGAATGAGGTTTTTTTGTTGACAGGAAAAAATTATTCCAAAAATCTCCAATAGGTGATGTTGACATACAAAAGACAACAGACATGCAAACAACAATGAAAATGACTTTCAAAGTGATTTCTGATTGTGAGGTATTTAAATTTCTGAGTGCTTTGATCAAGTCCTTCCAATACTTTTGCCATGAGATAACATTCATCCATCTGGATATGCTGCACTCTGCAGGTGTGGGCATTGTTACTTGGCTAAATTATGTTATATTCTGTGGTGGAGACCATGTTAAATATTAATACTTGTCAAATAAACACATTTTATTATTGTTTGCATTTCTTTCGTACGTCAGCATCACCTATCATTGATTTATGGAACTAATTTTTCCCATCAACGAAAACCTTCTATGTTGTCAATACTTACCACACAAACTGCATTTTATTCTGATAATTATTTTATATTTTTATGAATAGTTTTATGGAGTTTTTGCTTATCCTGTATTTGATATGCAAAATGTGTATTAGCAACAGATCAATCTTTGAATTTAGCAAAATTCAATATTTATTTAAGCAAAAACTCTTACTGTAATTATCAATTACAATTAATATGTATTTGTTTAATGTTAATTATTGGCATTATAATGAATTTATTTCTGTTATTTAACATAAGACTCTAGTATCTTTAACATTTTAATTCAAGAGGATTTGTTTTTCTTTTCACTTAATATTTTTGGAATTTTAATGCCTAATCTTTCAAATCCAAAGTTTTAAATTCAAATATAAATATAAAGAATCTAGAGAAGGAAAATGAATATCAGCTTAAATTCACCAGTCTGAGAAGTTTTTTAAATTGAATTTTTCTAAAAGTTGAAATTCTGCATCAGTGAATTTCATAATAAAATTAAATATTTGAGGCAGACCATTAGCAAAACCTCTTCTATGTGGCTCACAATATTGCATTTGATCTCAAAATTTGATTGATCAATTTTTATAAAACTTTGCCATTTTCCATTTATTACAATGAGGAATCCAGAAACATTATAAATAATGGGGGTCCATGACTTTATTTTTGAGATACAAGATCATAGCATGAGCTTGTGCAACAAAGCAGTGTTATACAAATTGCATGACTTTGCCAATGTCCCATGGTTGCTAGTGTATCTATCATGTGGTTTATAGAATTGAGTTCATTCTCAAAATTTGATGGATCAATTGATTTTGATGAAACTTTGCTATTTTCATTAATTATGAGGAGGAGGAATCCGANATTTTTCTAAAAGTTGAAATTCTGCATCAGTGAATTTCATAATAAAATTAAATATTTGAGGCAGACCATTAGCAAAACCTCTTCTATGTGGCTCACAATATTGCATTTGATCTCAAAATTTGATTGATCAATTTTTATAAAACTTTGCCACTTCCCATTTATTACAATGAGGAATTCAGAAACATTATAAATAATGGGGTCCATGACTTCATTTTTGAGATACAAGATCATAGCATGAGCTTGTGCAACAAAGCAGTATTATACAAATTGCATGACTTTGCCAATGTCCCATGGTTGCTAGTGTATCTATCATGTGGTTTATATTCTCAAAATTTGATGGATCGATCGATTTTTATGAAACTTTGCTATTTTCATTAATTATGAGGAGGAGGAATCCAAAAATGTGATGAGGTCCATGACTTCATTTTCAATATAGGGTACAGTGGAATCAAGGTGACAATGTACAGTACATCCCCCTGACACAATTGAACATGTCTAATAGAATTTAGGGGAGAAAAATGAAAAAACAGCATTGCATATGCCTAATGGAAAATAGGTATGAAAAACAAACAAAACACAAGAACAAAGCAATTGATGGTGATTGCTTTGTTCTTAGATTGCTTCTCTGTGTTGACAAATGCAAGGATCATCTCTCTGTACCTGGTCAATACAAGGATCACATCTCCCATGGCCAGCAGAAATAAGCATGGTTGTGGAAAGGTAGAGGCAGACAGGGTATGTGCTTAGGGTGGCAAAATTGTTAAATGGGTGAACTAATGACTTCATAGAAAATTGCCACACAAGTATGAAAAATTATATTATGAAATATGCATTATGTTAATAAAATTGATTTTATCAATATAATTTTTAAATTTATAACAAACTAATTAAAGGCTTATCCAAAAGTTATTGTACTTAAGTTTGCCCCTGGTGCCAAATGCTCTAGTCACATGGACTATAGAGGCATTTTAGACATAGACATTTTATCTATGTCAAAGTTGCGTGATGTCCTAGTTTAAAAGTATTAAAAACTTGGCTTGATATAATCATTGTCAAAAATTTCCTTATTATTAGAGTGTTTTATTTTCTATATCAGCAGCCTGTGGACCAAAAACTTTGAAATTTGGCAGGAAATACTTCTATACAGTAGAACGTCGATTATCTGAATCAATTGGGAACTGGGGTTGTTCAGAAAATCGATTTTTCGGATAACCAATTATGTNATTTTATCAATATAATTTTTAAATTTATAACAAACTAATTAAAGGCTTATCCAAAAGTTATTGTACTTAAGTTTGCCCCTGGTGCCAAATGCTCTAGTCACATGGACTATAGAGGCATTTTAGACATAGACATTTTATCTATGTCAAAGTTGTGTGATGTCCTAGTTTAAAATTATTAAAAACTTGGCTTGATATAATCATTGTCAAAAATTTCCTTATTATTAGAGTGTTTTATTTTCTATATCAGCAGCCCGTGGCAAAAACTTTGAAATTTGGCAGGAAATACTTCTATACAGTAGAATGTCGATTATCTGAATCAATTGGGAACTGGGGTTGTTCAGAAAATCGATTTTTCGGATAACCAATTATATATGAAAAAATACGTTATTAATATATTAGTACAGTATATACCAATAATAGTGTATTAATATATTCCATGTTTAAATTTTTCTCCATTGCATATCACTTCATGTTGAATTTTAATCAATGTTATGTCTAATGAAAATTTTTATAATAATAATCGTAGCTATTGTATCATTAAAAATTATTTCTTTATTTTGTACAAGCAAAATAAATATATTAAAAAATATAAAAACAAAAAAATTATACTTTAGAAGTTAATCTAGTATCAAAAATGTTCGATTCAGCACGACAGATGTCCCGACACACAGTCCTCAGAAAAACACCACACGAAAGTGCCAGTGCTGCCAGCTAAAACACATACACCAACAAAAAAATGTATTGGAGTAGTCAAGACATAGCCAAAGTTTGTAGCACCACAGCTGTAGCAGAAATTTAAATTTGCCAACTGGAACACTTTCGGTTAACTGACCGTTCGGTTGACTGGTTTTCGGATAAGCGACGCTCTACTGTAATTATAAATCCAGAATTGGACAATTAATTACTGCATAAATATGTGATTCCCACTGCATTATTCAAAATTCCCATTACAGTTTTATGTCCAATTGCACATTAAGATATACATTGTTATGCAATGTTGTGTCTAAACAGCTTTAAGGTGTAAACTCCCAATTTAGATAGCTTGTGTGTTTTTTCTTTGTCATATCTTAAAATGCACATGACTGATGGAAACCTTTTAACTTCTAAGCTACAACCTGCTTTTTTGACATAACACATTGTTGTTGCCACTATCAATTTTCCTGCTTCTTCTAGGGCTATTTGCTCATTTTAATCTTTATCTTCTTTCATATGCTTGTTTAATGGAGCTTTAATAATGTCATTCATTGTATATCAAGAGAAACTATGCTTGCTGGCTGTTATTGTAATTAGTTTAAATTTCTTATTTCTGTCCTTGTTTGTTGATGAGCAAGAGATCACTCTATTTACTAGTGTTCTAAAAGCTTGATAGCTTTTGTGTTATTGTATCATTCAAGATCCAATGTGTAAAGGAAACTATAGCAATGTGCTTATGGTAAACTTTAGTGTTTGGGCTCANAAATGATAGAGGTTTTTTCATCCAATATAACTAATGTTATGTTTTCAAAGATAAGTGTGTATTTTACGTATTATGACATGTACGGTTTAAGAACTATAGGCAAATTTCCATCTATCTATTTTGCTATTATTTTTTAAAATTATAAATCAGTGGAAAATATCTCCTTTTTCTGTTAATGTTATTGGGTGGATTTTATAAGATATGGGAATTTTAAATTTTTTGTTGGGTTGTTATGCGGGTCTCCTTATCACATTAGAAATGCAAAAATGATTTAATGTTTTTGTTAAATACTTATTCTGGGGGTCGATAAGAAGGCAAATATTCCATAAAGGGGTCAACGGGATAAAAAGTTTGGGGACCCCTAGTGTAAATGAATTTTTCCAACAAAAATTTACATTCAAAACCGCAGTGCCTCATATAATTGAGCCTTTACAATATATATATGCTATGATAGAATTGTTAACATACTATTTTGACAGCACTAATTAAATTGCCTTTTATATTTTATATTATATAAATTTTAAAATAAAACTAGCTATAGATTAATACTTTTTAATTAAAATTGACTTTTTAAAATATTTTTGATACTTTCTCCAGGATTCAGAAGAAGCTAGTAGTGAAAATACATCTGATTATGTCCCAACTGGATCAACTACATTCCAGCATAGTTCAGTAGGTCCTAATTTCAACAGTTCTTCAAATTTAACGTACGTATCTGAATTAGGTGTTTAAAAGTTAGCTGTTTATTAAATATGCAAAATTTAATAGTAATTATTTATTTAACAGACCAGATATTCATTCTTTGAGAATGCAATTTCCTGGCATTCAGAACTGCAATACGGCCGTCAGTAGTGCCGAGGATGATTACGATTCTTGAGACATGCTCACACTGCTTCCGCACAGAATAGCTTCAACAAGATTTAAGGAAGCAAAACTTAAGTTGTATAATATGTAAAAAGACTAGTGTTTAAAACTTGTTTTTAATTGATTATATATAAACTGCACTGAGATAACCATTGTACTGTTCAAAAGGATTTTTACGATAGTTTAACTCATATCAGGGATAAAACATAGTAGCGTGAAATATTTGACCTTTTGGGTACCAAACTTTTTGCAGTTTATGACATTTTTCTAAGGAAAGAAATATAGAGAATTATTTACAAAAGAAAAAAAAAGGGATTTCTTAATTACAAAATATTTTTTAAAATCTCTTCCCAAAAGACAAAGTTATAACTAAAATAAAGAATCTTGTAAGATCTCTCTTCAGTAAAATTAATTTGTTAATTAGATTGAAAGCTTAAAATTTAACATATTTGGTATGTTTAGAAAAGGGATTTAAATTGATGCTGAAAAATGTAGTTTTATTTTTATGAAAACACTTCAGAGTTAAAAAAGTAGAGAAAAAAAAATTTTATATAAGTCGTCATCAAACATTTGTATATAGATCTTGCAATTGATCTTTTTTACTCATTGGGTTGTCAGCCATGTTGGATATGTAATGGATAAATACAATATGTGTATTTGAAATATATGTATATAATGTATATTTTAATTTAAATCATTTTTGATCAAATTAAAATTATTTTAAAATATTAAAAAAAAGCAAATAATACATATAAATATAAGTATTTTGATTTGTTAAATATAATTTATTATCTTTAGTAATAATTTATATGCAGAATATCCTTTAAAAGACTGATACAAGTCTTATTTCAATTATTATTTATTATATGAGGTTTGAATTAGATTATTCGTAACATATTTTAACTGAAACATTTTCAGAAAATCGGTATGAAAACAAGATTAAATCTGAAAACGTAAATATAAATGTTTTGTATTTATTATTTAAACTGATTTTTTAATCAGAAAGTTTGGTTTTTGTTATTCATTTATTTGTAAAATACCAACGAAGTATGCAAAAATCCTAATGTAAAACAAGTTTAGGAATCTTGAAATGATTCTCATTTCCATAAAAATTTACTTCTGTATAAATTTTATTTTTTGCTAAATGTTTTATTCATCAATGCTCAGAAGAGACTATGGAGTTTAATGATTATTTTCACATTCCCAAACATGCATAATGCAGTTGTTTTGAGTTCTTTGCTGTTTTAAACTAAACACACAACAGAAAAAAACTCTTTTTGACCCAAAAAAGTTTACTGTTTTTTAAAATATTTTATAAACACAATTTCATTCCCAAATTAATATTTTGAAAGCTAAGTACAATACCGTAAATGATCTTAATTCAAACCTTACACAATCAATAACAAGTGAAATAAGGGTTTAATCAGCATATTTTGAGGTCGTATTTTGTATATACCTAGCACTGTAGTTTTAATTTTAGATAGAATGTATATCATTTACTATATGTTCAAAAATGATGTGACTTATGAAAATCTTATTTAAAAATCCTTGTTAGTTTTCATAAATCTAAATATTGTTTATGACCTTATTTTTGTCTAATCGCACAAGATTTTCAATTTATTTTCCAACAGTAAAATCAGTCTCAGTGACAGTATAAAATATAAGATACATTTAAAAATGTATGCATTATTATATATTTTGTTATTGAAAGGACTATAAAATAGATTTGTTAAAAACTGAAACTGTTTTTAAACAGAGTGAAGAAAATGATTTTTTTTTCATCCAAAATAATTTCATTGTCTGAAATCATCAAGCAACTTTGAATAGTTTAAAGTTGCTGGAGTTATCTTTAAACTCTTTCATTTGTTATTTTTGTTATACATATATATATTTTCATATAATTACTTAAGTAATTTTGATTAGCAAAACTAAGGACAAACAAACTATTTCATTTTAAATACTGTAATACTTAGAAATTACAAGTAAAATTAATTTAGTTTTGACATTCAAAGTATTCATAAGGTATCAAGTTTTTTATATAGCTAGTCTGCTGCTTTCGAAAACTTTTACTAAAGTAATGAAAGTTTCTTACACCTGCGAAACATTTACATGAGAATTTATGGTAGATTAATATGCATAATTTTTTTAAAATAACTTTGTAACAAGAATAAAATAGTTTTCAGAGCAGAATATCCATTTATATTTCTAATGTGGCACAATATTAAGCATCAAATATAATTGCACCATCTATATACAAAATGAACATCGCTTGTCATTTAATAAATTTTACTTCATTATTTCATCACTGGACTGCTTTAATATAGAACCGCTTAGCAATATGTTCATACACCATGGATTCATGATGTAAATTTATTCTGAATGCCATTCTCGTGTCTCGTTGAAGCAAAAGAAAAAGTTTAAAGAATTCAAATTTATTTCTCCGATGTTGGAATTTAAATTATTGTAGAATGTTTAATTATTAATGTTTTAATTAAATAAAATTAAGAATAAATATGCTTTCCAAAATGATATGCATATTAATTATTTATTATCACAACAGTTTGAACAAGAACATCAATTAAGCGTAATAATTACATTAATTAATAAGAGAACAGCAAAAAATAATTGTTGATTAATATTTCATGTATTATTCCATTATGTCTTGCATGAACTAAGTCTCAATATTCAAAAGTTTTAACATGGACATAATTAATGATAATCACTTTAAGAATAATGCCAAAATAGTAGTAATTACAGGTAACCCCCTTATAACACGGTAGTTACGTTCCAAAAAATTGCCGTGTTATGCGAATCCGTGTTATACGAAACAAAGAACTAATACGAAAAGGAGGGTTAGGTTCCAAAAATTAAAAAACATGCTAGTATATTTTCATAATTAAGATAAATATCTTCATTAAAATTTTTTTAAGTGATACATATTAATATAAATTAAACAATGTTTTCTTCGTCATCACTAAAAACACTATTAATTAACCGAGAGCGTTTTCTTTTTGGCAAGTTATCCTTATCCTCTGAGCATTTTTCTGCATTATCTTCAGATCCATGCTTTACCTTTTGCAAAATGTATGTAATTTTAGATTGCTTGCTTCTAGTTAAAAGGTCTTTATAAATTTCCTTATATGGTGCTAAGCACTTATGAAGAATAAAGCAAGTATGGAATAAGGGAAAAACATTCGGCAACATCAGAAGCAGAAGCGTCGCGATCTGGCAACATTGAAACAAGTTTCGAGAAGGACCACGTGTATCGACAGAAGGCGAGAAGAGAAAATTTACATACTTAAGTACTAATAGTTCACGAAAATAATAATTTTCGTGAACTATTATTACTTAAGTATGTAAAAATTTATTACATTTCCTGTTGTACGAGGGTTTTACCCAATTCTCGAACCGTGTCAGAGTAAATCCGTGCTATAAAAGTACCGTGTTATATGGGGGATGGTACCAATTCTCGAACCGTGTTAGAGCGAATCCGTGCTATAGAAGTGCCGTGTTATACGGGGGTTACCTGTACCAAAAATATTTATAATTGCCTAATATTGGCATTATTCACGACATTATCAAAAAATATGTTGTTTTGAAAGTGTAACAAATTTGTTGGATATTTGCTGTTTAAATTAAAGTGAAACTAAAGACTGATTTTTGTTATGATTCAATTTATATGGAATCATAAGATATTAATAATTTTCTGACTTAAGCCTTTCGTAAAGGACTTAAGTGAGAAAATTTTCTCTTCATTCTTTATGTATTTTTCAATGTTAAATTAGTTTGCTCTAGTGTGATTAGTATTTTCAGTAATTCTATATCAGAAAACTGGAACTGTACATGTAGATAAGAAATTACATCCTAATGTAGAGATCTACAGGGCAGACAGGAATGGAACCTGCATCAACACAGATAAACTAATGCTTACTGGAGCTAAATAAATAATGTAAAATAAACAACACCTTTCACCAGTCCAGCACAATGTTTAATGCTTTAAAAATGTTTTTGATCGATTTAAGCGATCTTCAGTTATTCTTTCATTGTAACGAACAAAGTATTTGAATTATTTTCTTTATTCTTAATTTAAACTTTACTGTTCTTTCTAAATTATATTATTACTATAATTTATTATCTGAAAAATTAATGAAATATTAATTAAACAATAAATTAATATTTTTAGGGAATGGATGATTTCTCACATAAAATTAATATAGAAGTGCAACATGCTACAGAACCAGTTATTGCAGCAATAGAAAGAAATGGTGGTGTTATCACAACAGCATATTATGATATGGAAAGTCTTGTTGCTATGGTGAATCCTCTGAAGTTTTTTAGTAGAGGTATGCAATTCATAATGTTTAATAAAAATTTTTAAAATATACTTTTTATAAGCTAAATCATAAAATCAAACTGTATTTGAAATATAGCACATTCAAATATAATAAAAAATAATACAAAAAAATATATATAAAATATNATTAGTTCGCATTTTTCATTTGTTTTTCTTACTACAGTTATTTTTTTTAATGTATTACTTGGCTTTAATTTGAGTATGTTTTTCGCGTTGGAACGAATTATTTGGTTTTACATGTAATCGTATGGGAAAAGATGATCCACCTTACGACATTTTCATGATACGATCTCAGTTCCGGAACGGATTAATTTCGTATCCTGAGGTACCACTGTATTTTAAAACATTTAGTTCATCAGGATAAGAATTTATAATTTTTTTGGTATTTGATTTTATTTTTTTCTTTCATCTTGGAGAATTAGTTTAACACAATATGTTAATAATTGATTCACTTAATCTATGAGACAATAGAGAGATAATATTGTAAAGAAACAGCATTGTCCATATTATTCACAGAAGATAATTTCAAACTGAGTTGGGAAGATACAAGATTGTTATTTACTTCCAGGAATTTGAAAATTGTTCTTGACAGAAGCTATATATACACTATCTGTCCAAAAGTATCCGGACACCCTCCTAAAGAAGTGGATCTGGTAGATGATGGTCTCTGATGTGTAACCGAAAGGTATAAAAGTGTTGGTAGTGGTTTGTCAGGTCATATTTATGTGTTTGTGAGACAATGAGTAAGTCAAAGGAGCTCAGTGACTTTGATCATAGCATTATAGTGGGATGCCACCTTTGTAGGAAATCATTTTGTGAAATTTCAGACATTCTACAGAAACCAAAATCCACTGTGGGTGATGTAATTGTGAAGTGAAAACATCAAGGCAGTGAAAGTGGAAAAAAATGACGTGACAGGCTGAACAAAATTAGTTAATGGAGCTGTAGAACTCTGAAAAGGGTAGTGAAACAAAATCACACACCCTCATTGGTTGAAATCACTCAGGAGTTCTAAAGATCATCAGGCATTAGTATTAGCACCAGGACTGTTCATCAAGAGTTAAAAAACCTGGGATTCCATGGTTGTGCAGCCGCTCACAAGCCGAACATCACTCTCCAGAATGTGAAGCGTTGATTGCAATGGTGCGAAGCTCACCGTCATTGGACTGAGGACATGTGGAAAAGTGTTCTTTGGAGTGATGAATCTCGCTTTACAATCTGGCAGTCCAATGGAGGCATCTGGGTTTGGTGGATTCCCAGCGAGTGCTTCTTACATGACTGCATTGTATCGACTGTAAAGTTTGGTGGTGGCAGCATCGTGTTGTAGGGGTGTTTTTCATGGTTTGGCCTGGGTCCCTTAGTTCCTGTGATTGGAAACATGAACTCTAAGATGTATGTGGACATTCTGGACAATGCTGCTCTCCCAACTCTATGGTAATATTTTGGGGAAGGCCCATTTCTCTTCCAGCAGGATAACTGCTCCATTCACACATCAAGACTTGCACAGGCATGGTTTGACAAAATGGGTGTTCAAAAACTGGACTGGCCTTCTCAGATCCTTGATCTAAATCCCATAGAACACCTTTGGTACAAATTAGGATGCAGATTACGTAGCCAGACACATCGACCATCCTCACTGCCAGCACTCACTTCAGCTGTGATGGACGCCTGAAAGTCAATTCCGATGGCCACCTATCAAAAACTAGTGGAAAGTCTCCCCAGACGTGTGCATGCTGTCATCGATGCGAAAGGAGGACCAACATCATATTAATATATGCCTCAGGACTCTCCAAATCCATACCACTGGATGTCCGGATACTTTTGACCAGATAGTGTATTAAGATATAAAATGATGTAATATTCTATTAAAAAAATTTTTTTTGTAAGTGTGGAACTATATAATTACTTTAATACACAAAAAGTAAATTTGTAGCATATTATGAAAAATATGTTACAAATGTAAATTACAAATTTTGAAACTTTTGTAAACACTTCAATTTTAATTGAAGCCTTAAATTATTTTCCAGTAAGGTTTAATTTGAAAAAGTTTTTTTGAATTAAACCTTACTGGAAAATGATTTAAGGCTTTTGATTGAAGTGTTTACTATATCATTCCTGTCCAGTAAGTGGTGTTTTATATCTTTTAAAACTTTTGATTGCAACTAGTTGAAATTTTTGTTTTTCAAACTTTGAGTCCAACGACATACTTAGTTTGTATGCGTAAGTGAATTATTTTAAAGTATGTAGTTTATTAGTAAAAAATGTTTACTATAGTATGGACTACAAAATTAATTTGTAATATATTATGTTGAGAATTTGATTTTTGGGATACAATCTTCAAATTGCAGACCTGTACATTCCCACTGTTTCTGTCTGTCTGACTGTCTTTCATTAATCTCAAGAATATAGTTAAGTAGATGAAAATTGAAAAAATGAGGAATTTTTTAAAGACAAATTATGAGGTTACGTGATTAATGTTGTTGGAGTTAGTAAGCATTTAGAGAAAATGGTATTTCTATATTTCTATTCATCCCTTGTTTTGGTAAGGTATTATATGGTCCTATGAAATTTTGTTGAACAAATATTTTTATTGATACAATCAGTGTGCACATGTGGCAGGAACTAGACTGCTTCAAATTACTAAAATCCTAACTTTATTTGAGTTAACTTTAACCTATCCAATGTTCAAAGTTTTTTCTATTGCGTGTGATGCCATGTTGAATTTTCATTGATGTTAAGCCTATGATAACGAAAATTACACATGTTTGAAAAGAATAATTTTCTATTGTATAGTCCAAAAAAATTTTTTTTTGAACAAACAAAATAGATATATTAATAAATGTAATAACCAAAAAAATTATATTTTGAAAGTTAGTTTTAATATAAAAATTATGACGACTAGTGACATCTAGTTTCAAAAACATTCCAATGCTGAAGTGAGATATCTCGGGTCAACCAGTTGAGGTCGGAGATAACAACCCTGAGATATGTTGGGAATAACACAGGACAGGTTAATATATCCTGTGAAACTTTTTTCTTATACAGTCGTGCCTTGTATAACGTACTTAATCTGTTCCAGGTGCATGTCCGTTAAGTGAAAAGTCTGTTATACGAAACGCATTTTCCTATAGAAATACATGTTAATATATATAATTCGTTCCGCAGCATAAAATAACCATACTGTACCATTAAAAAAATGAAAATGGAGCAGTCACCAATTATGCTGGGTAGTCAGATGTTGTGAGGAGGAGATGGAAGAATTTTCTTCACACATTCATACAGATACAGACTTTTTACACATTGCAGCAGGTCTCTTTTTATTGTTTTTTAATCGGAGTCAGATTCAGGAGAGACTACCGGAGCTTGCAGGGTCAACTCCTCTTGTTCTATCCTTTGTTTTTTGCCTGCTGGCTTCTTGAAAAACATGTCCAAGGTGGTCTGTTTCTCTCTCTTCTTCAACATCCGTCAGAAATGACGGGCAAGGTTGTCATTGTAGAGATCATTGATCCTGGTGGCCTCAGCCCTGTTTGGACAATGAGTGTTGGTTAACTCTTGAACCTCCTCCATTCGACAAGGAAGTTGTTGTCAACTTTCACTCCTTCTGATGATTTCTTGCATTGTTTCAATTGAAATCACCTTTCTGTTTTTTTAGAAGCCATGATTTGCACAACACTTGAATAAATGTAAATACCCTGCACTGAGGTGATGTATGTAATAAACAAGGGAGCAAGCCGAATCCCAACGGGAGGTCTGTACTTCAGATATACTAATAATATATTCTAGTAACACTAATATATTATAAAAATAGCAGATTGTCATTGGCAATGGCAAAAGAGTGAAAATATCATTCGCACTTGTTCGCCTCACGTAACTGCCGAACGGAAAGTCCATTGTTTGCAGCCAGTTCGTTGCTCGAGTCACGTAACTGCCAAACAGAAAGTCTGTTGTTTGCAGCATCCGTTATTCGAGGCATACGTTATACGAGGCACCACTGTACTTGCAATAAGACAAAGAAATGAATTTAAAAAAGGTGTGTACAGACTTTCCGTAATGCCTATACATAGAGAAAATACAATTATAAAAAAAAATAATAATTAGATTTTTGTGATTTTTTTTACATGATATGACGATATCACAAGTTTATACAGCAGAGTTTTAATAACTCGACATTCTGTAAAATGTAAAACTTTTTATGTCATTAAAAAAAAAGTACATGTAATATAAATTTTACCTCTACAACTTAACACTGTGATCAAATAAGTTATTGTTCTCCATTGACAATACTTGATAATACAGTAGAACCTCGAAAACTCGGCCTAATGTGGACCAAAGGGTGGCTGAGTTTGTGAAAATGCCAGGTTATCGGGAATGGGGTTAAAAAAAATAAGTACGAGTGTTTCCTCGAAAATACTGTACTGTACTTGTATGTATTGTTTACTTGAGAATATAACAGAGAATAAACTGCCCAAATACCCTTAAACAAAGGAAAAGTACGTCCTTTATGAAGGCATAGAGCCTTTACTACATGAAAATGAAAATTAATGAACACACTGTGTACAGTAATTTACCTGAAAAGACAGACCTCAGAAAAATACTTTATGAGAGCTTTTATACTTTTATAAAGCTGTCTATAATGAAAATTAATTAACTAAGGATTTTTTTGCCCTGCCAGGGTGTGGCCAAGTTATCCGGAGTGCCGGGTTATTGAGAGCCGAGTTTTCGAGGTTCTACTGTAACATCAATTTCATGTATTAACAAAGAATATAACACTTTTTCTAGGATGCCACTGCAAAACACCATGACATGAATGTCACTAATTTGAATGTAGTCATTGAATAGCCAACATGTTTCTAAATTAAAATTTAACTACAAATAAAAATAACCATTATTGGTATGTAGTTAATATGAATATGAATTTGCACATATATTATCTTTATGAAAATTCTGCCGTTTAGATTAGCATCATCACTATCCTGAAAAACTTGTCAT